CGTAACAGTTTTGTTTTCTGTTAAAGTGACCATTTGTGAATGATGATCAGAAAGGCCAGCATGTACATTGCTAACATTAAGTAAATTGTGAGATGATAAGTTTGTAAAGACGTTATCAATCAATGTGGCAGTCGTAGCCGTTACTCTTGTTGGCGTAGATATCGTAGCTTTCAGATTATACGAAGTTAGCAAGTTTACAAATTCGTTCTTATCGGTCGTATTATCCAGTAAATTGATATTAAAATCGCCACATAAAATAACGTCACTGTTTAAGCATATTATACTATCTAAAAGTGAATACAAACATTCAAAAAATAAATTTATGTTTCCACTGGGGGATCGATAAACACAGACAACGATTAGTTTTCCATACTGGGCTGCTACGTACTCAAAGTCTTTTTCAAAGCATGGTATATGACAAAATTTAAGTTCCTTAAAATTATAATCAATCCTCGATAACATCACTACACCACCATTTTTGAAACTGTTTCTACAAAAACTACACGCAACATAATAGTTTTCAATGACCACGGTAGAAAGCTCGGCATCCTTCATCCAATGCTCCGTAAAACAGATCGCAGCGATGTTTTGATTCTTTGTGTGTAAGGTTTCTAAATATATTTGAATGTCATTCACTTTTGGTTTTAAAGCTTAAATGTTTTGGTGTATGATTGTAAACTGTTGGATCGTACTCACCGCTCCCTATTGTTCTAGACGCTTGGAATCGGACTTGCTTCTGGTGATAATTTCGTTTATGTTGGATGAGGATGAAACTTTGGTAAACAGTTTGCCAAGGTCGTTAGGTGAAGTAACGCCTTTAGAATGTAAATCCTCAATTGTAAATTTTCGGCCATTTATGGACAGCTTTTCGTACTGAAGATGCGCGCGATGTCCTAATTCCTTGGATTTAATTAAATAGGGTTTTAGTAACGAACGTTTCTGCAGCACAGATTTCGAAAAGTCATGCGATACGGAGAACGGTGTGTTTTTCAGTTTATACGCCTGCTTTATTATAATATCCTTGACTTTGAAGTGATTGAATTTAACAATAATCGGTCTTGTAGTATTATTGTTCGGGCCTAATCGATGAGCTCTCTCCACTTCCGTATCATGAATTTGCATCCCATATTCCTTATGAATGATTTGACGCACCTTCGACTCAGTAGTTTCCCATGTTTCTTTTTCATGCTCCTCTACGTTGTAAAAAATAACATTGTTCCTTCTGGATTGATTTTCTAGATAATCTATTCTATCCTCCAGCAGATGAACTTGTTGGCGAAGGCACGTGTTTTCATTTTTTAATTCCTCGATCGTTGAGGACAACAAAGCAATATTGTTGTTCGTGACATCGGTTTTGCTATCTAGGTCATTCAGTTTAAGTAATATTAAATCAATTTTATTTTCCATTTTACGATAAACGTACGTGTGTACACTACGAAAGCTAACACTCTAATCTGAATCGCATGAAAATTTGGATTTAGGTTCTACTTACCCTCCACTTCAAAGTTGAACTTGAGCCCCTGATTGCTTTTTATTTTTTAGGAGAAAAAACTAGCCCTATTAGAAAAAAATCGTATAATTGTAAATTAAAGCGGGTAATTGATTCAAATCATCTTTTAAAGGAGTGAATAAATATCAGTTAACATAAAACAGCATAACTTATGATTTTATCACAGTTTAACCCCTAAATCTTACCTCTAAAATAGTTATAATTAAAACAATGTCATAGAATACTTTGACTCCACTGATTTGCATGGAAATTTGGATTTAGGTTATTCTTACCCTCCACTGAAAAATTGGACTTGTGCCGTTGGTTGCTGTTTATTTTTTAGGGGTGGAAACTACCCCTATTAATCATATAATTGTAAATTCAAGCAATTTGGGATTATTTAATTATACAGTAACATGAAAGTTAGATTTCTTTGCTATTATTATTTTTGAAAGGGTTGTAGTTGAAAGGGCTCGAATTAGTCACTCATGAAGAGTGTATGCAAACTTTGAACAGCCATATCTTAACCAATTTTTGTTTTACAGAAAAACAAAAAAAAGCAAAATGTTCAGAAAAGCAAAAGCTACATTTTTTTATTCTTGTAAATTTTTCGTATCACTAATACTTTTGAAGTTATTTTGAAAAATAAGACATTTTTCAAAATTTCAAAATTTTTTTTACTTCAAAACTACATTTTTTCAAAAATAAGCACTTTGCACCGGTCAAACTTACAGATCATATAAACAATACATAATTAAACTGTAAGCGGTAACGCTTAATTACAATTGGGGTGCTAATTAGGGGGTGATTTCCTCGATTTTTTTTTACCAAAAAAAAGGACCGACTTTCTTTGAGTGTAACTCATTTGGTTTTGACGCTAGGAACTTTTCTTAAAAACAAAAAGGAAGGTTTTTTCAAACACTTTAAAAAAGTATTCATAAGTTTTCCCCGAAAAGTGCTTCATTTTTTGGTTATTTCACGTTGAAGTACTCGATTTGGAATTTGACGAATGAGAACCTACTTTTCATGAGCTACAACTTTGATTCTACTGGGTCTACAGACTTCATATAGAGACCATTTTGTTGTTTTTTTATAAGCTATATTTTTGCTAAGAATACTTTTTGCGATACAATACTTACTTTTAGAGTTATTTGCGAAAAACCGTCTGAAAACGTGGTGTTTTTGTTGAAAAATGAACATTTTCACTCGCAAATAACTCGAATACTATTGACTTAGTGAAAAAACTCTATAGAACAAAAGTTGCATAGAATTACTGAATTTATCAATTTCCAGACTTATTTTGAACCCCGAGAAGGGGTGGCATTCACCGCCCAAGTAAAAGCAACCCTGGGCTCAGTTCACCTTTGAAGTAGAGGGTAAGAGGAACCTAAATCCAAATTTTCAAGCAAATCCGTCGAGGCGCGAAAAATTACACGCCAAAACGGTCATTTACTGACCTAGTTTGTTTACCCCACAATATAAATTCGAAAAAAAACTTATATTTCTAAAGCGACCACCCGTTACATAGTACAAGCATATCCTTATAGATACCACACAACTTCATTGCTGTTATATTTAGTACTTAGGACGTACAAAATGCCTAGCGAGATTAGGAAGGCAGCATGTGACGGTATATTCCCAAAGTAATCAGAAAACCGATTGCACATTTATTTAGTACTACCATACCCGGCGAACTTCGTATCCCCTATGCGTCAATGTGCTCCAGGATGGGTTTCGCAATTTTGCTAAATTAGAAACTTTCCCGGACATACGTTCAACCATTCCCCAAAATTTGTTCGCAATCGTATAAACGGTTTAGGCAGGTATAAGAAACATACTGACAGACAGACAGTTTTTATTTGTTGCTGTGTGCAATAGCACGCGGTCACAACGCAACCCACAAAACACCTTCCAGCTAGCTCAAACGAATCAAAATTGAAACTAGAATTTTATCATTTCGCCTCGAGCACCTCTGGCATCTGCTATAAAGAAAAATTCCAATACCAATTCTGATGACCTTGATCAACTTCCGACAATTGCATTGAATTTATTACACAAATTTTGCCCAATACTTGAAATAAATCTTTGGGCACCAAAAAATCTGACATGAAAACCCTATCCGGGTCGCACAATGAATTCGAATAAACACACAATTTTGATTTGACTATGAAAAAAGTGTATTCCACACATGAAACAGTTAGAAAAAATTCCTGAAAAAACTTTGCAAAGCTTTTTTGAACATAATACCTCGCACACCGGCGGGCGATAATTAAACATTCCCCAAAATTTGTTCGCAATCGTATAAACGGTTTAGGCAGGTATAAGAAACATACTGACAGACAGACAGTTTTTATTTGTTGCTGTGTGCAATAGCACGCGGTCACAACGCAACCCACAAAACACCTTCCAGCTAGCTCAAACGAATCAAAATTGAAACTAGAATTTTATCATTTCGCCTCGAGCACCTCTGGCATCTGCTATAAAGAAAAATTCCAATACCAATTCTGATGACCTTGATCAACTTCCGACAATTGCATTGAATTTATTACACAAATTTTGCCCAATACTTGAAATAAATCTTTGGGCACCAAAAAATCTGACATGAAAACCCTATCCGGGTCGCACAATGAATTCGAATAAACACACAATTTTGATTTGACTATGAAAAAAGTGTATTCCACACATGAAACAGTTAGAAAAAATTCCTGAAAAAACTTTGCAAAGCTTTTTTGAACATAATACCTCGCACACCGGCGGGCGATAATTAAAAATAAGTCTTTTTTTTAATAATTCAAATAATCTGGTCGTAAAAGATTTGCGATAAAGGCGCATTAAACTCACATACGCTAACAGCTTTTGAATTTCACTTGTTCTTGATGACAAAATCTGATTTGATGAGTAAAATGAACAAACATTCGGTGGTTGTGGGATGGTAGAAACTTTTAATAAAAGGCAAGTGTTTTACTAAGCTGACAACTGCTTTGTTTACTCACCTCCTAACTAACTTTTTCGCACATTTTACAACTTCACTTTACGATACTTAAATCTTTAATCAAAATTGCTTAACTTCGACACATTTTATTTGGAAACCAACGAACTGTTCAATTAAAGCAATAGGACTTCCTGAATCTCGAGATTTAGCGTAAACAAATTTATGCGCTCTTTTTACCGTCGCGAAAACTAACAGCTTGCAGCAGCAACCAGTCTCGTTTTTACGTTGATTCCAGTATTTAAGGGATCACCACTTCGACGGATTTCGAGGATAATACCGCCAATCACAATTAGACTTGATAACGCCAGCTTCGAAGGAACACGTCCCACCTCCTCACTGACGCATAAAATAACGCACACATTGTAAAACACCTCCATCTTCTAACGGCGATAACGTGCGTTAATTAAATTTGGTCCGATAAAAACACTACAAACTACTAGATGCCCCTACATTTTACCACGCAGTTTCACGTTTTACAATTAAATACACCTACCTAAATAAACAATTTATAAAGCGATAAAATTTAAACAAGGATTATGCAATTACAAACAATTTCAGGCTGTTCATATGGCGAACCCAGAAACAAAGAAAATTAAAATTGAAGGTTCAGAAAGTGGAATCGAAGATTCGCTACAACCAATGGACAGCGGTCCAAGTAGCCCACACAGTGATCAATCTCCTAGCGTAGCGGGCGGTGAAGATGTGAATGATTTTAACTTTTTAGATGTTGAAGGAGACTCGTCTATAAATAACAGTAATTTATTTGATGATTATAAGAGTAGAATGAATACACTAATTACGATTTCAGAATATACAGTTTACAATATTTATGGCACAACAGTCAAACCGAAAATTCCAGGGCGCGGTTCATCCAAAAGAGGGCGACCAAGAGGTTCAAGGCGTGTTTCCGCTCTTGGAAGGTTCAACAACTCCGCAACTACACCTAATAATTCTATGCACATTGGTATTGTACGGTTATTATTTTGTTAATACTTCAATATTTTGTTTTAGAAACAAACGATCCCTTCAGCTCAATCGAATCTTCGCCATCAACGTCTATATCATCCGGAAGTTTAGGATATCACAGTTCTCCCGGCACAAGTAGCACAGTGATTCGTCGTGGTCCAGGAAGGCCTCGTTTAAAACCTAGTGGTCCCAGTAATTCAGGCCCCAGAGGTTCCTATCGGCCGCGAAGGCCAGCGAGGCCCCTTCCCGTCCCGTTACCTACAGACGGTGGGGGAGGTTCTAATACTACCGCTAATTCTGGATATTCTGCCTATCTGTACGATTATGCGGATCAACCTTCTGATTCTCAATACTGATCTCTTTCGAATTAACTTGTCCATTTTATTAGTGTTGTTTCACATTTCACTATAGAAATTGTAAATAAAAGATCCTAATTGGCGGTGCTACATAAGTTACTTCGTTATATATCAAACCAATTTCTGTTCCCACCAAAATACTGCCTGTTCATTCTGCTATTTAATGGCAAAGAGTAACAGTATTCTTTGGTAATGGCAATATTATGTATGTTGGAAAAATCAATTTGTGCTATTGACAAATCGAGGCGTTTTTAGTCATTTCCAGTCATTTTAGAACCATTAGTAAATATGTTTACGTTGTTTTATGTTTTTTTTATATTAATGCAGACACTTTGAATTGTTTTATATTTGATGTCTGTTACTGTATATATTACTTAATATTTTTCTGCCTTTGTTTTAACAGAATTGTTTTTAAAATGTACACTATTTACCTATAATACGCGACCAACTGTAAGTGAAAGACAATTAAATATTATTTCAATTATTCTGGGTATATATTACTAGACATTTTTCATGTTTGGTTCTATAACTTATATGTGCTGTAGTGAATTGCTTATGTCAATTCACTTTTTTTAACTCATTTCGTTGGGTACAGCATTTCTAGATAACAAACTCACATTCCTTAATAATTAAAGAATATTCCTGGAATATTAAATCAACATTCAAGTTATTCTGCGAATATTCCCTGAATCTGAAATGTCCTTTTTTTTAATATTCTAAGGAGAATTTATGGAATATTCCTTTAAAGAGTAGATGAATATTTTTGGAACATGCCCAAAACGTCAGAAGAATATTCTCATATATAATATTTTCAGTATGAACTTGCAACATAGTTTGTATATTCGCGAAAATTTGTGCTGTTGTAAAATCACTGAAACGGATGAACTCTGTGATGATATCAACATGTTGCTACAATATTCGTACTGGGTTCAATTGTTTCCGTCGTTTTGCAATAGCGCAGATTTTGGCTTATTTTAGAGTGCTTTGTAAGTTGCTACAATAACGGGCAGTTGTTTTATCAATATCCACACATTATTATGTATCGATTATTAATAGAATAATTAATTTAATAAATAATCTTTAAATATTTTATAAATAGGTGAATAAGAATATTCAGTATATTGAGAGAATATTCCAAGAAAAATTGATGTTATCTGGGTACTAGAACATTGCTTGGGATCTTTTTGAGCGATTCAAGCATGCACAAAGTGACAATGTGTGGCATAACAAATGTGGAAAGCAATTCGCTGTACCTCATGTATTCCTTCTTTAACGCATTTCCACAAAAATTTAAAAAATCCCCTATTGTGACCATTTGGTTCGTTATGGTCTTGAGACTTGTACCGAGGAAGGAATTTTTTCTGTGTTTATTACTAAAAAACTATTTTTTTTCAATGTACCATTGTTTTACAATTTTGCCGTTTATTGTGCTTATACATTTTATACGCTAAGATGCTTTTTATAAAAACAAATTGTGTGAAAGAATCGGTTATGCACGCCCAGTGCTAACTTTCTTATTTGTGGACGGATTTTTTTGAAATTTTAGAAGGAAGGAATGAATTAAAATGCACGTCAAAAAATAACTTGACTAAAAACACGTAAAACAATTGCGCATGCCCAGACCCAGAGCTGGGTCGAGCGTTCTAAAAAACCGCTCGAGCGACCAGCGCTCTAATTATTTCAAAAATGCTCGCAAGCATTGAGTTGTTTTGCATAGCGAAACCGCTTGTGAGTTCCGAGCACTCCTAAAAATGCTCGAACGGTTTATAGCGAGCGCTCGGGAAAAGTGCTCGTGAGCGGAAAATGCGCTCGGGAGCGGAAAAAACCGCTCGGGGGTGGAAAGAAGTGAAAAAAGCACGTATTGAAAACACATGTCAAGGAATGGACTTTATAAAACTAAATTGAGCGCATATATAAAAAAAATTGTTTGCGCATGCGCAAATTGAAGTTTTTTATTTGTGGACCAAATTTTCTAAAATTTTAATAGAACATTGTAAACGTATGTCAGAAAATAGATTGCGCATAAGCAGAACCAAGGCCTTAGAGCCGCCCTTCCACAAAAATAAACAAGTTAAAAAGTAATCGTAAACGATTTACATAAAGCGCATTTCCACCTGCATTCATTTCCCATTTGTAAGATGCAACTTCTGTTAAAATCGTAAAAATCCGACCACAAATATGAAAGATAGCGTTGCACATGGGCAATCCATTTTTGATGTGCTACTTATCAATTTCAGTCTATAAGAAGAATTTCATTTCAATGCTTTTCTAAATAAGAAAGTTGGAACTACGCATGCGCAAACCTAAATTTTGAAACTAATGTTAGATTTTCCTTTGTTCCAAGCGCCTAAGTATCAAATTTCACTTAAATGCTTCCATAGAAAAAAAGTTGACACTGTGCATGCGCAAAATAAAATTTTGAAACTGGCGCTTGATTTTCTTTTATTCCAAAAACGTATGTATCAAATTTCATTTAAATGCTTCCATAAATAAAAAAGTTGACACTGTGCATGCGCAAAACCAAATTTTGAAACTGGCGTTTGATTTTCCTTTATTCCAAGTGCCTATGTATTCAATTTCGTTTAAATTCTTCCATAAATAAAAAAGTTGACACTGCGCATGCGCAAAACCAAATTTTGAAATTGGCGTTAGAATTTAATTTATTTCAAGTGCCTATGTATCAAATTTCATTCAAATACTTTTATAAATAAAAAAGTTTGCAATTCGGTTTATAAATGGTCGAGATGCGAAAAGGGCACTGTGAATTTTGAATCGATTCGACTCAACTTTGGGCATTGTGTATTATATGGCTAAAGCTATGCCCATATTGAATTTCATGCAATTCAGTTAATAGGAGATGTAAAAGCGATCGGACATTTCTAAACAAAGTTATCGTTCACACGGACAGATAGAGGGACACACAGACAAAGGAACAGACGACAGACAGCAATACAAAATTATAAACGATCTCTAGGATAGTGTTCATAAACGGCAAAAGTGTAAAATTATGGAACATGTAAAAAACGGTTTGTTGGTTTTTTTACAATAACTTTTTTAGCAATAAACACAGAAAAAATTCCTTCCTTGGTGCAAGCCTCGACACCATAACGAACTAAATAGCGAAAAAAGTAGATAAAGAACTAGTAGCGTCTCAAAACGAGCGGACGGACGGACGGACAAAGTGGCCACAATAGCGCATTTTTTTTATGTTTGTGGAAATGCGCTAAAAATGTGCTATTGCGCCCACTTTATGTGCCTGTCCGTCCCTACTGCTGTACTGTCGCTTTCTGATCTTTAACTTGGCTCACACATGGACCAATTTTTCTAAAATTCGATAGTGTCCAAAAATAAGAAATGATCTCGATGATCGTTTTAGTAACCCATAGTATCAGTGTAATTTTATGTAGGTAACATGACAAAATCGTGGACCTAATAAATAGCCACCTAGTTCGAGCTAGGAAGCTAAATAAATAGGTATATTGTGCTCAAATTTTGTGCAGATAAAACTTTCAACTTCGTTTTCAAGATAGTTTCTTCGACTTCACCAATAGATATGTCTAGTCCAGACGATTCATTTTATTGCCTTTATGAGTACCATTTTCAAGATATGCACTTCACCAATAGGTATATTTTTTCCGGATATCCCAGTCGCCCTTTGTGAGTACGTCCTCTGACAATCCGCTCTTGAGATTTGAGGAATTATAACCGATCACGGTAAGGGGTCGAGGAGGAGGAGTATATGGTTGGTAGACATTAATTATATAAATAAATTAATTAATTCCTTTCATTGAGATCTTTCATTAGAGTACATGAACACTAAAGCCAGTGTCTCTCCCTCCCGTCTTCCTCAATTTTGATAAGGGGTGAGACAAAGGTTGGTTCCTTTCATAAGAGTGCCATGAAAGAAATCCACTTTTTAATTAGTCCAGGCTAAATAGCTCCAAAATAATTTATTTTCAAAAACGGCGAAACCGGGTTTTTCAAGCAGGTGAAATGATTAGAAATTGGGAAAAAATAATTAAAACAGCTGAATTTTTCCGCGGGTGAAATCCCGGGGGTTGAAAAGGGGTGGAAGGTGGTGTGGCAAATTGTGGCAAAACTATTAATTTTAGACGAAAATGTTCAATGTAAAAGTTATAGAGATTAAAAAAATGAACAACTTTTGTATCTGAACTATTTTCACATAACCCCCAATTTTCCTAGAAAAACCGGAAAAACTGTTTTCTTCGTTTTTTATTCTTATTTTTGCGAAAAAAAGTCGTAGGGGTTTGTAATTTTGAGAAAACATAGCTTGTTTTATGATAAAAAAGGAGATAATTTTTTGGGCCCGTAAAGTTGAAGGATTTCTAAGATCTCACGATTTCTGAAAAAGAAACCACTTTTTCAAGAGGGGATGAAAAATCTATTTTTTTTATCGTTTTGAGGTGCGCGGGGTAGCAAAATTTTCGGAAGAACTTACATTTTAATAATCAAAAATAAAAAATATTATTCCAATAGAAAAATTTTAAGAAAAGCGGCAAAAACTGGGGACCAGTTTTGACATAGATAGGTAGATAGCTTTTTTTTCAACTAAATTAACGTATTGGATCCGCCCTAATAAAAAATTCTTGATATCTGTCTTCTCTCCTCCTCTTTAATGTTGCTAAAATATTTTCTTTTGTTTCATAGTGCCCAACTGCCTTAATTAAAACATCTTTATTATTTCTTTTTTCTGCATTTTTACCTCAATAAAAGCAATTCGAAGTAAAATCGAATTCTTTTGCTTCCTGAACAATTTGTTTTTGTTCCCTAACTCTTCTTGAGCCGGTAAAACTAACGTTCTTATTGCACATTTTGCAAGTTTATCAACAGGCCCAACGGAATTGCATCAGCTATAAAACAGGCAGGAAAAAGAGTCAGTGAACAAAAACAAATTGTTCAGGAATCAGGAAGCAAGATAATTCGATGATTTTATTTCGAACTTTTATTGCGGTAAAAATGCAGAAAAAAGAAATAATAAATATGTTTTAACTAAAACAGTTGAGCATAAGATAACAAAAGAGAATATTTAAGCAAACATGATAAAGAAGCAAGAAGACATTTTTCGAAAAAATCCAACACGTTGATTTATCATGTCAAAAACCGTGTATATCTTAAAACTGTTTTTCTAGTTTTTGACGATTTTCTCGAATTTTTGCTATAGGAATAATATTTGTTTATTTTTGTTTATTAAAATACGAGTTAAAATATAAGTCTTCCCGAAAATTTTGCTACCCCGCGCACCTCTGTACGATGAAAAAAATAGATTTTTCATCCTCTTGAAACTTTTTTTCGCAAAAATAAGATTTTTCCGGTTTTTCTAGAAAAATTGGACGTTATACGTGTAAATAGTGCAGATACAAAAGTTGTTCATTTGTTTATTCTCTATAAGTTTTATATTGAACATTTTCGCCTAAAATTAATATAGTTTTGCCACAAATTGCAAAATACCAGTTTCCACCCCTTTCAACCCCCGTGCAGATTTCATCCGCGGAAAAATTCAGCTGTTTTAATTATTTTTCCCCAATTTCTAATCATTTCACCAGCATGAAAAACCGGGTTGAATCGGTAACTAATTTTTTTTGTAAAAAAATATTATATAACGTCTGGACTAAATTTGAATTAACGTGAATTAATTTGAATTAATGTGGAATAATCTGAATTAGTGTGAATTCATTTGAATTAACGTGAATTATTCTGAATTGAGGGGAATTAATTTGAATTTGTTTGCATTTATTTATCACTTCCAGGAAACACTATAACGCGCTGCGACAGAGCTCACGAGCGATTTTTTAAACAATTGCGTAGTGCCGCGAAAAAGTCTGTCAGCTCATAAATTACCGGGGGCGTTTGCATGTTCGACTCATTACCGCACCTTTAAGAGGGCGTTAAAGAATTAATTTTTTTGGTCAGTTTTTGCAGTGAATATTTCATCTTAAGTGACGAAAACCGTATAGTTGGGTTCTGAATTTTCAATTTTGGAAGCCTTTTCAAACCTTTTCCAGAGTGTTAATCGTACTTTACACAATATACAGTGTTCGAGACCCAGTCCCCCCAGCAAAACTGTCTGGGTCAGGTCATTTTGGCAGCTTTCTTTGCCATTTTCAGATCTTTCTGAACTCTTGTAAATCTCTCTCTAGTTATGGACACGACCTACAAAGCTCTTGAAGATTTAAAAATGGGCCTAAAGTCTCTTGGAAGCATTTACACGGTTTCCACACTATTAGAAAACAAAGAAAGACGTAAAGGCTTTAGACAAGTCAAAGCGTTTTCTGCACAGTCTACATTGGTAAAAAGTTTCCTTGGGTATCTAGAATATTTCCAAGTTTTATAATATTTTTTTCCAGTGCATAACTTTTCACAACTTTTAATGTGCCTTGGCTAGAGCGACTTCCACAGCAGAACTCTCAACTTTAAAACCATGATTACAGTAACTGAACGAACATTTGAAAAATAATCTTTAATGAACGAACAAGGAACTACATATTTGAACTTATCAAAACAAGACTATAACTAATTGTACAAATTCCATACGAATGGAAAATTCATCACATTTCAAATTTGTGTCATGTTAAAGACATAGCAAATATATCACATTGAAGAAGTATCTACTCAAAACATAAACTTTAAAGTACAAATGGAACAAATTATATCTTAAAAACTAAAACGAGAAGTAACAAAAGTAATGCCTGTAATAAATACATATCTCACTGGTTATACAAATTCCATAAAGAGATTAAGCCCTCTCCTCCCGATGCACACATAAGCCTACAATCCCATTCAGGTACAATTTTTGGTGAAAATATGACATCGGTTATTGCATTTTTATGCTGACGTAAAACAACAAGTGGCCTTAGACTTCTCCAAGAAAACAATCTTAAACGGCCGTCCCACCCTCCACAAGCGAGTATTTTACGATCTTGCCTTAATTTTACAACACTACAACCTTCACTCGATAATAATATCTCACACTTTAATTTTATCTTAAAGTCTTTGTCAATAGTAAAAACTTGGAGCAAGTTTGAAGAGTTCCCACAGACCCCCTTCCCCGTTACAGAATCAAATGCAATTGACATTATGTGCTCTTTGAATAGTGCACGTACTTTCTGCTCCCCAGTTAGAAAATTCCATAAAATAAGATCACCAGTCTCGTAACCTGCTAAAACATACACAGCAGCTCCAATTTCCACTTTCTCTAAGGCCATGGTGTACCCCAATTTCTCTGAAGGAGAAGCGAGTAAAGGGGTATACATTCTGATCTTTTCAAAGGTTTGTAGATTAATCGCTTCCACCTGACTATTTACTTGTGGAACAATTAGAGTATTATTGATAACGATGCTACGGCAATAGGCACCGTCGGACATATACTCTTTCAACAATGTACAGTTTGCCGTCATTTCCATATGCCATAATTTAATGGCGCCCGACTTTTCTTGACTAATTAGATACGGCGGTACATAATGAATTGCTTGAATGGAAGCCCCGAGTTTTTCTTTACGTGTGGACCTATTTGTCTGCAAATGCAACCTTTACTTCATTAACCAGAGCAATAAATGTTATACCTTCAAATCCCATAAGTAAATGTAACCTTCTTCATTGGCGGCTAATAAATGAGATGTACTGAACCCGTCGAATACAAACTCTATATTATGAATGAGCCCCATGTCACTTCGAAGTATAAATAAGGGGTCTGGTGGTAAGAGAGCCATAATTTATCAATAAATAAGATCTGGAATTACAACGAAACTAAAAGTTTGGAAACGAAAAGTTTGGCTATGGACGAAAAAAACCGTTAACGGTAGTGGTTCATATACCATCGACGGACGGTAAGATAAAGTGTAGGAGAGTCAGTAGCGTAACACGGGCGTCGGTACAAGCCCGGCTCCCGTCACCCAAAGATGACATTTGTTTTTGTTTGTAGAACATGATTTGCTGTGATAAATAACAAATTACTAAAGTAAAATGTTTATTTTTGCGTAATCGTTTTTAATTATACGAAAAGTCGCAGAATGCGGGTTTGAACTGTTGACAGTCGGTCAGTCGCGAAGCTCCTCAACAAAAACTGGACAGTGCCACATCCACACCAAAGTGATTTGCCAACCGTTTACACAGATACAAAAGGTGCGTTCGATTATCCGTTTTAGGAGTGAGCAGAGCGGACGGTGCAAGAGGTCACGTGATCAGTGACCACTGGATCGAATTAACTGTACAATAAACCAACGATATGCAGCGGATGGAGCTTAACCATAACCTCCAAATTTTGTACATTTTGGCTGGCCAAGTACTACATCAATGGCAATGTGTAGAAATATTCATTGTAGGCGCAAATGATGTCCAAATTATCTTTATGATATAAAAGGCAAACAAAAACAGTCAATCAGAGTAGATACAAATGCTAATTTTTAAGTTAAAATAAGCATGACCACGTGATCCCGTCTATTGCGCTCCGTCATGGGATGGAGTGCTTGCAGTTAAAGCTGGATAGTACATACAGAACGGAGTAGAGTTGCCTATTGTCAATCGCCAAATATGACCATTTATAATATTAATTTGTGATTGATGGCAGAAACGGAAGCTATCTTTTCGCGCTTTTGCGGAAAACTTTTAAATTGTTTTTCCAAGATAACTTATAGTATATAAATGAAGTTGGCACAATTTCCAAATTAGAGATAAGTTCGTAAACTTAATATCTTAGGTAATAACGCCAGGAAAATTTATTTCCTTTTTTTTCCAAAATATGGCACCCATCGGCCCTCGAGGTTACCCTTAAAAAAAATTATTTTAAAACATTTTAGTAAACCCCGGTGTGTTAGTCTAGCTAAAGCATTCACCTTTCACAGGAATATTGGATCCCTTCTTCATCTTCACTCAGAATTCAGATATCGTGGAACGAAATCAAGCGTTTTCGAGTAACGAAACAGGTGTACTGTCCAGCCTTAACATCTTTCACTCTGTTTTGTAATAAAAATACGATACGGAGTTAATCTTTTTCTGGTGCACCAATAAACGAACGCTTTAGAGCAAAAAGAGTGATCAGCAGAACGTATAAACGAACGCACCTAAAGGAGTAGGTTGTAGGTATCAAAGGACCCCACAAATTATTAAATTTAGGTGAAGTTTGATCCTGTTGTAACTCTTCTCTCATGATAATGCGAACAGAAAAATCCGATACAACTGAATGCCGAACGATCCTCGAGATCTTCACACATACATCACTTTTACAATACACCTTAAGGGGTTGATTCTGTCCCACCAGCGTGGCTTGTAAACACTTTTGAATCGGCATTATAGTTTGCATGCGCAAAACAAATTTTTTGATCGGTATCAGTTTTCCTTTTATTCGAGGTGCCTATATACAAAATTTCATTTAAATATCTTAACAAATAAAAAAAACCCGACTGCTCATGTCCAAAACAAATTTTTTGATTCGACATTAGTTTTACTTTTATTCGAGGTGCCTACATACAAAATTTCCATTAAATATCTTAACAAAAAAAAATTGGAATTGGGCAAATATAAAAGTTGTAATGCGCATGCGCAATATTTTTTGCATGTGCATAGTTGCCTGAAGTTTAAGAAATATTTACTAACACAGAAAACCGAAAATTCATATGTTCTTTGTAAGAATCATAAGAGAAACCCGTTTGGAGGTTTGGGCAGTTTTTGGGCGGTAACTTTTTGGCCCGTTAGTCTACGCAGCCAAAAACAATAGCGACCTTTCATATATCCCGAAGAACATGTGTATCAATTTGCAAAGCAATCGGACGTTTCTACCCAAAGTTATCGTGCACACGGACAGACAGACAGCAATACAAAATTATAAACGACGTTAATAAACGAAAAAAAAGAACGAGTTGTATTTTAACAGCATTTTTTTCGAATGGTGATCTATTGTTAATTTTGTTCCAATGTCTATGTGCGCGTCAAATTTTGTAACATCAGATTACAATAAGATCTTAATCTCATCTCCACGTTAATTTTTTTTACCTGTAATCACTAACAAACGTTACACATAATAACACAGATGGCGGAAGCTCTGCTAAGAAGCCTCAACTTTTGTGCGAACTATTTAATTTTATTTTTGGAATTTTCCAAATTATTTGTTGTTTGTAAATGAATTTCTGGGACTACACCTATACCTTTTCCAATAATACAAACCTATTAACATCTTCACTTTCTCATCTGTAATTAGGCTCTGCTGTTAGATGGGAAATAAAATATATATTATTATCTACCAAACTACAGCAGCAACATGGATAGTCAACAGCACTAAAGATTCTCATCGGCTGTCATTTGAATTAATATCTTGCGATTCCGCATCCGTTGTCAATTTTTGTTATTTTCGTATAATTTATTAAGAAGTAGACATAGGGATTTGTGTGTAATGTTTTTCCTTATGTCTACAAAATGCTTCTGAAGGGCACCTAATTTTATACATCCAAAATAACTTTTTAAACCATAAACATGTGGCTTAATTAGTTTGAATATTGTTACAGAACATAAATCTCCTTATGCTCCTGTGACTGGCACTATACCAATTGATATCAACTTTTTCTACAGTTGAATACTAACATCGCAACCCAAAGCAACAATATTCAAATTAATGTGACAACCAGATCTTTATTTGTTTTAAGGTTAGTTTGGTAGCATAAAATTAGGCGCCCTTCAGGCGGATTTTGTAATTTAAAAGTAGACATAGGGCACTGTATAAGCATATAATTATTCATTTTGTAAATGTTTGTTTTCTTTTTTGTCTTCTATGAAGGGTAAAGAATAAAGACCATTATTGTTAGTATCCCATGCTTTCAGTGATATCATCATAGAATAAAGCGACCAAATATGAAGGCAATATTGTATTGATCTCGGCTAGGTTGAGCGTTAAAAGTTAACTTGCCCTACTTTATCTTTGGTATTCCATACTTCTATGCTTAATCCACTTTCTACTACACATAAATACAAAATGTTGTTGCGTTTCGTACAAGGATAGCTAAGACTGGGGAAACACTGCGTATTGGAAGAAATATAAACTTTAAAATTACACAATTGAAAACGCACTTATTATTAGCAGACATTTAGTAAAACATGAAATAGGCCGGCAAACATGATTTTGCTTTACAGAATAAACACAGAACACAATTTACAATAACTCTATTTTAAAATATACACGAAAATCGGCAAAGGACTACTCCTTTATATCATCATATAGCATTCTTACACAATAAATTAACATTTAACGTGGACCATTAGATAATCCTTTCAAGTTATTCCTGTACTGATATGTACGTAATAACATAAATTACTTAAAAGTACGTAAGTAGTATGTTCATCATTTAGTTGCAACCGAAAATTGATTATTGCAAATATATATTGAATATCTAAATATGTTATATGCGAATAGCGAATTTAATTAAATTTCGAAGCGGACCACTAACTATCGTTTTCTGTATCTAAAAATTCGACATGCGTAAATGGAAAATGACCAATTTTGCCGTTTAATTCCCCTTCCCACTGCCCATTTATATTCGTCTTAGTAACCCTTATGATATCCCCTACTTCTAATTTTAGTGCCGTTTTATCGTAAGCATTTGGAACCCTAACTTGTTTCACCCTGGCCATGGCTGGTAGTTTTCGCTGAAAATAAAAGTCAATTAACACAGGTATATATAATGGTACACTATTTCATTTACCTGCATTTGATTTCGTTTCATCGCCGCTTCAGCTTGTTGCGTCATTGTTGGGACGGGACCACCTGATCCCGGTCTATTCATATCAACAAACTGTTGACTATCTTCGTACTGAAAATTACATGTATCAACATTGTGCTATTAGAAATGTCAATTTTAATTTTTTTTGCTTTTCATATGTTCAGAGATGAACAACATGATGTATTTAATGGGTTACAGCAATGCACTCAGTATACAGGTTCAGTATTTCAGAAGGGTTTGGAATGTAGGCAGACCCTAAACTGTTATGTATGTATAATGTTAAATTCATTGTTTCATACTAACAAATACTTTAACATTGAACCTATAACAGTACGACTCTTTGCGGTACAGGCGTACAAAACATTTGGCCCAGCGATATCAAAATAGTAAATGCTATAATTGAGTAAATCTTAAAAATCCACCTACCTCAAAATAAAAAATTTTAACCTAAAAAGCAGAAAGTGGCCTCAATAGATACAGGGTTTGAACAATTTACCAAAGTAAATAAAAAAATATATGATTTGGAAACGGCGACCTTGTTGTCTGTATTGGGTGATGGCTTTGCAGTTTTAAAAATTATTTTGGTCAACAAAATTAAAAAATTTACCGCTTCATATTAAACGTGAACGAAAGTATGTATGGAGATAAGAACGATATAAATGGTACGAGTTGGGAATAAAACGCACGTTTGCCTTAATCGTCCACACCATTCCATACACTGCGCATGTCTGAAGCATTTTTGTGTTTACTTTTCAAAAAAATTAAAAAAAATCTCAAATCTACAAATAACCTAATGTCGAACTCCCCTGAATTGGGGGAAAAAATTTTCCATGCAAAAAAATTGAACCCAGGGATACCTTACCTTGTGACTGAACTGAGTTCGTTGAGGGGAAGAGTCAAATCTTTCGCATGTGCACAGTTAAGTAGAAAATCGCGAGCGCGACCGTGTTGCCAGTTCTAATAACCGTTGCGATGGTGAGGTAGAGGGGCTTTAGAATGTATGCAGGCATGTGTAGAAAAACACGCGAGCTCACAGGTTCCACTAGGTCCTGTTTTCGGATTTTTCCGCTGGCAAATACAAATAGCCAAGGAAACAGAAAAGCTGAGATTTGCAGTTTGACTTCGACAATTTCATTTGCGACAATTTTATCGTATACCTCATTCCGAGACGCACTGTGCTATTTATCAGCGGCATGCGGTAAAAATTTAAAGACAATTAATTAGTGCAATTTGCTCACAGTAAAACCCAATTAATAAACGAGGAGAATTGGATTTTTATTCCTGTGGCTACACAAGATTCTCGATCAATGCTTTCGAAAATCTGATACAATTCTCAATTAATACGAACAACATCACACTGAAATTTTCATTCAACAAGAAGTCGATATTACCAGGGCGGTATAAAAAGTTCAGCTGTATCGTCACGAAGTGATCCATTCTCAATATGTTGAAGTTTCCTTTTCCAAGGGAGGAACGCCAGTCTCATTAACAGCTGTAAGTTACTTTAAATTTTTGATTTCTACAAAGTATTGGTTGATTATTTTTAGGAATCTGTATAGGTATCTTGTTTAACATAATCATAATATTCCTAAAGGAACCGACTTCCAATTGCATGAATCAGATTTGTATCAAATTAATTGATAATAAGGGAGAGAAAAGTTCCCTGTAGGTTTCTTCTAAGCGTAAAAAGTGTACAAGCTTAGGGGAAAGATTAATGCTGACACCATACATGGGACACCCTGTATATAAAATTTTTAAGTGCAAGTAAAACATACTAATCGTCGGGTTCAAGGATTTTTCTAGGAACTAGAATTTAAAATCAATTTCTTCCTATTGTGAAGGCACTGTATATTGAGAGGTAGTGATTTAATAAGGCATAAAATTAATAAACAAATGGAGGCGTGTTAGGAAATACGCTCCAACCTCGTTGATTTTGTTTTGGTATTGCGCATATTTTGGCACAAAATGTAGGTATACAGGGTGCTCCAAAAAGCATGGCAGAAAAAGATATATTTTCCTTAAATAGAAATACCCGTATTAATCCACTAAACGCTAGAGGTGGAAAGTTGACAAAGCAATATGTTAAGAGACATAAATTTTAGGTAATTTTCTCCTCTTTATTCTATAACAAAACCACTCTTTGCGTAAATAGCTTGCTTTGCAAGTTATAAGTTGGAAATGGTTTTTTGATGATTTGTCATATTTGCAGGAAAATTGTTTGTTGAATAACTTCAGATTTGTGTTCAGCACACCAAAAAACATAAAAAAAAACCCTAACAACAATTAGACCAGAACTTTCCACTTCCAGTCCTTCTCATGTACCATTTGACAAAACTATATACATATTTTCGGATTCTCCAGAAAATTTTAGACATGTTTCATTTAACTATCCTAAGTATACCTATCTTCAACTTCCTAAATAAACCTGTATAAACTGTACTTACCATATCATTTCCTGTAGTAGCATTACTATAACCTTTTTAAATACTTTTAAACTTATCACTAAAAACACATTATTCAGACTGCCCAAAAGTAAAACCAAAAAATTGTGATCTTTTCCATATTATAGGAATGTATACCCAAGGAAAAATTAAATTATACACACATAATAATATATCTGATACATTTGGTCACGAAGACATCAATTCTGTAATATTATGGGTCCCCTTTTAATCCATAGCAAATATTTTACGAATATTATTCTGCAAAGAGAAGTGCTTTGGACATTCATAATACAATGCATTTCCATTTGCAAGTTGTGACTCAAGCAAAAAAAAGGAATTTAGAATTGATCTCACAAATCAAGTTTGATGTATGTAGGATGCCTAACCATACAGTTAACATATTCGAGAAGGGTGAGCCATTACCTTTTGAACATATGGTACAGGTATTGATCCTTTAATACCGTGATTATTCTTAGCCGTCCACCATTGCTCTTCATCCTTGGAAATAATAGTTAAAATTTCACCTTTTTTGAATGGTAGATCATCTTGATCCTGTAATAATATAAAATTGGACTGTCTAAAACGTAAGCAGCACCGTACCTGTCCCTCAAAATCATACTTCGCAATAACACGTTCAGTTTTTCTAGGCGCGGGACGTATAAGCGGCGTTGTATCTAAATAATGCAACTTATAAAATTGTAATAACGTAGGTAAATCGTTAAATATTTGATCTCCGATTCGGTATCGTATTAATTGATCGTTCTGTTGCATTTTATTTATGATATAGTGACTAACTTTACTGTCCTCCCTAAAAAGTGTCCAAACACAGTTGCCTAAATGTTATAGTCGAGACGGTTTACCTGACACACAGCACATAATCACCTACACTTGTCGAACTATCCCTGACAAGAAAAACCCCACCTTCTTTCTCTGCTAATAACAAATCTGTCGCATCTTGCCTACTCATCGATCCAAAGTACCAACTGAAACATACCGTTCGTTAGCGAACGCTTTCACATTCAATTGCTAATACCTCGACTTATCTTCAGGATCAAATGTGCAGGCCATCCTAGTTTACACAACAGTATTATAACCTATAAATGTAAATGCACTTATACTGGAGAATGATATAAGAACAGCTGCATTTTCATCGTAGATCGTGCACTGCATGCGTACATTATGTAATACCATTGTCTTGAGTTACATGACAAAATAAATCTGTAAAGAAAATAAATAGTCTTCAGAGTTTAGGGTTTATTACTTACCTACATTTTATTTATAGACCCAAAAAGTTACTTTTAAGTGAGTTATCCTTTAACGATTTAAAAATGGTGGCCTTTGATGATCCGTTAAGACATCTTAATTTCATAATAACTTTATAATTGTCGTTTAAAATAATAACTTTGTTGAAATAATTATTAAAATTGAGGGTTTATTAAATACAGGAAAAATGGCTGCATTTAGTGAAGCCCACTAAAATTCTAAGAACGTTGGTAACACTGCACTTTACTATCGAAGCGTACACCCACAGACGATATTTGAAATCACATCAGTGGCTAACGTGGATATTTTGATTCGCCATGTATATATTTTTCAAATACATAATCTACGATTGGTTATAAAAGTTAAATATTTATTTATTTTTGTTATATCATGTTGAAATAGTATTAGGTGTAACATTGTAGAATACAAAAATAAGTATACGAAGTGTAACATTTAAATCTCGAAATTTAGGCAACGGCCGGTTAAACCGAAAGCATAATATACAATACTATGCCGAAAGTGATATTTCGAGTATTCAATTCGTTTTTACTCATAATATAACCCAACAAAGTTTAATAATCATATCCTTAATTCTACCAAAGATACAGGGGCGGGCGAGTCTATAGTTTGGTTTCAAGCCGTACATTTCTAAAAAATGCATGAAAGATGTAGCGGTAGAAAATTTAAATTAATGCCGTCGGAATGGTGTTTAAAAATTACGCTGTACCAGTTTTGACCACAACGACAAAACACCCAACTTCCAATTCTGACCGCAACCCCCAATACTGCACTTATCTGATTATTTGTACAATTTTTGGATTTTTCGACTTCTGCAATTTTAGAAAGTTCTTTAGATTATTGGATTTCTTCTTCTAATTCTTCATTTCGGATCTTTCATATGCTTTGATTTCTTAGAATCTTTTATTTAATCTTCAATTCTTTTCTGCGGATTCTTCACATTATATCAGGTCTTTCAGATTATTAAGATGTTTTGGTTTGTTTCATTTCAGATGATTCTCCTAATCCTGTCAAATTGTTCAGATTCTTTAGATTAGAGTGCGTAAGATCCTTCCGATCGTAGACACTGTGATGTACCCCAAAGTCGACCCTTGCTAACAAAAGCGGAAAAAAAACCACTGTTGGAACACGCTCGTACAAACCTCACACTCAAAACTGGTTGGATTCCCTACGTTGTGAAAGACCAGGTTGCACACACTCGTACCCCAGCTTATTATCGGAAAGGTGGAACACCAATAACACACTTATTGAATTTGAAAAACAAAAGAAAGTTATTGAATAAATTTATCAAAAATATAAATTGTATCAAAATGGAGAAAGAGTTCCTACAAATTTAGAAAGAAGGAATTTAAATAAGCCAAAGAAATGTGATGTTTCCATTGAACTCATCGGACAAAAGAACCGAGAACCGAAACATTGTTCACAGAGGGTAAGTATAGAGGGAAATCTGGAGCAACAGAGGTAACTGCGGAAAACGCTAATCACATCTACAATATACAAAAATTAACAAATCCGAGGAAGTAACTCGTGAATTTGAATAATTTAAATCTGAAGTTATAATTTAATACGCATTTGATAAGCCAAATAATGGCCAGCTCAAATAGAGTTCACAGCGACTTCACTCCTTTTCCATTTGTGAAACATATAATTCCGACTCTTACATAAGGTACATGAAATACATGGTTAATGAGCCGGACCTTCTCCAGTCCAGAAGGTATACTATATTCCCAGATGAAAGCACTTTTAACAATTGTATGAACTGAACAAATTCAAAATCAGCAATGCCTTATGAAGACACTATTTCCTTCATATACAGATGAAAATTGTTGAAAAAATTGCTGATAATGATAACATTGTTTCGAGGCTAACGTATTTCTAGCTGATGTCGTTTTGAAAAGAAAAAAAAAGGGCTGTAACTTTTGACCTACTCGTCCGATTTTCAAAAATCGGGTCGATTTGGATTCAACAGATCAAAATCTAATAGAATAGGTAGGCGAAGATCCGATCACTACGTCAAAAGTTATGGATAAAATAACGATCTTACAAAGCAAAAAGAAAGGGCTATGGGGATCTGCTAGACCAATCAGGTGGACACCGACACCAACCCACGAATAGTCGAGGAATCAGAAAATCCGGCCATTTTCAGGTGTCTCAACAGAATAGACGGACGGGCGGACAAAGTGGCCACTATAGCGCATTTTTATTTATTTGGATGCGCTACGAATTGCACAATTTTTGTTTTTTATTTTCATAGGAAGTGTAAAAATCAAGGAGATAAAATACCTCGTTGGTATAACCCTAGATCCTTCACTGAACAGTATAACCTCAGAGTAAGAAATAAAGATCTTACTCTAAGGCATATGTCTAAGGGTATTGGGTATAACCGTTGAGGGAATTCCTATTTAATTACTCAATGGTATAACCGTTGAGTGAAGGAATTACTCAATGGTATAACTAAATATCTCTCTGACATCTGTCGTAATTAAAAGCAATTGAGTGTTTCCACTTTTACTCATAAATGTAGAACACGTAATAGTATTGCAATACTTTCCAATGATATCGCCCATATATGTATATTATACATATATGATATCGCCACACGCTTGGCTCTCTAAGATACAAATCTGGTAATAATATAATTTCCTGATTTAAGTCGCGTCAGAAAGCATCCGGTTCATTTGATTAACGTTAGATGTCGCGCGGAGGAAATTAAGTAAGATGGGCATCAAGGAAAAAAATGGCAAAAGCGAAAGGAGGAACTACCGAAAGATTAAAGAAATTGAAAACATATTTGAGAAGTAAGGCAAAGAGAAGAGAAGTAATATGTTTTGATTAGATGGTCTTGGCCCGAAGTTAAATTTATATTTTTGATTATTCGTTTAATTAAATTTGAAGTTATCGAATTGCTTGATATGTGTATGGACTTGTTGTATGTAAAGTAACGCTTTTCTACGTAAAGAGACCCGAGAATCCTGTACCAAATTGATCTCGAATCTCAAATGTAGGCTTTAACGAGGGACAAGTTACAAGTGCCAGGGGTGGGCTCTGCTAATAAAACTCTTCGATTTAGAATCTATGTGCGATGTGAGTTGGGATTCACTAATTTCCACATGTGAATTTGCCACCCAAGGCCATGAAATTTTTCACGTTGCTTTTAACAGAAGTGTTTTCATACACCAAAGTTGAGTTACCTGGTGTACAGGTCGTTACCTGATTGTACTCTAACCACAGATTTAAACACTCTAAATCTGTGCTCTAACTACTTCTTCGTTTTGCAACTTGCTTTTAACCTGTATCTGCTATGATGTTTTGTGTATATGAAGTATGATTTATATTTATAATGCTTTATTATCAATATTAATGCATTTAATTGTTGATTGGAGATTATTGACTATTTAAATAACTAATTTAAATGCAAAGACTTTCTTAAATTACAAATTATGGGCTATCATAGTGTTTTATTTTGCGTTCCTTCCCTACCGTAGTTCAGGTCATGGCGCTGTTGACAACTAACGCTTTTTATAAATCTGAACGGGGCTCCTGCTAAAGCAAAATTATTCGCTACTATAGAGGAAATACAATTTTCCTCTATGATTCTACCAATCGGCTTGTAGAATCCAAAATTGTTATGATTGAACGACAACATCAAAAGTGATGTGAAAGAGCATAACATTTGGATTTTATTTGTGTAGAAATCGGTTTTTTGCTTGAAACATTTGATGTATGGTTATGGCTATTTTGGCTTTGGGGCCAGGGACCCTATACCTGGAACTTCTATGGTGAACTATTCAAAATGAAGTTCATGGTCATTTGAGAGGATTTTGAATTTTGATTCATGCAATGGAATTAGAAACTGAAATCACAACTCAATTTCTTTGTAATCGAATTAAAGCCTTTTTGTAATACATACCTAGGTATTCAAAAGACCTTTGATATGAATCACAGAGATTTACTGACAAAATCGAACAGCTAAGGACTGGAAAGCAATCAAAGTCTTATGGAAGTAATAACATTTGGATTCTATTTTTGTTTTAAAGAGCACAAAACTGATATGATATACCTAATTGTTTTTTTTCATTTTATATATTAGAAATAATACTTTTTGGCAAACGGTTCTTCTCAGAGGCGCATCACAAATTAAACATGAACTAATTTGAATTACGCAATTAAAAAAATGTACCTAAATGTTAAAAACTTCCATGTCGCTTCTTTCATTTCCTTAATTCTGAACTTCAGGTAGGTAATTAACAACACATATAAGCGTGGTTTATTATTTATTATGAAAGGTATTCGCAAGACGTCATTGTGATTATAAGCGAGACAGGATTAGGTATTCTGCAAACGATTATTATTATCAGTAGACATAAACAGTATACTTCCTTCATTAGTTTTACCATTAGGTACGTTCCTGTTTATTCCACACCCAGTTCGGATAAATAAACCAGAATACGAAGCAGCACCAAAGTTTTGGAAACAAAAATTAACATAATACGTAGGTCTTCCTGAGTTAAGGTCTTACGAATAACCAAAAATCTGTACATGTCATCTAACATATCCTGTACTTGGTCCTAAAATATATCAAGTACTTACATTAATTATCTGACATTATTGCCGTTTAAAATCTTACCAAGCACTTGGAGATTGAAGACATTTTGCTGCACGTGTGTTTAGTCAACCGCACGTAAGTAGGTACAAATAAACAATTGCTGAGTGCTACCGGTAGGCAAATGCAGAATTATCAATTATTACTTGGCGTAAAACAGTTGACCGTTTCATTTCAAATGTAGTTCTCCCAATGCCGGACCGGCGCAATAACCATAGTAATTAAAAACTTAACGACGTACTGCGGTGTTAAAAGCATTTGATGTCGATCCTGTCAGAATTGGACATGGCTTCACAAGGTTTTTTGGAAATGAATGAAACCTAATCCAACTTACTGAAAAAATATACGGTATATATGGAATTGGGCTTATGAGTTATACAAAGGCTTTAAGCTTAAACCTTTTTTTAAAGAATGATGGCCCTTTGAATGAATTGAAGCAGCACAACAAAATTTAGGTATACCGCGCATAATTTTAGTTTGCCTAATGAGAAAGACGTTACGAATAGTTCGTATTTCTTTATTTAAAGGGAATGTGGGTCATTATCAAATATGCAAAATTATTGCTTTTAGGTAGATTGATAAGATATATAAGTGATGCAATTTTGCAGAAGTTTTCTTTGTTTACAATTTCATTATCTTTAGAGTTTATTTAATGTTATTGTTCAATGAACAGGCGTGTTAAAAGTGGAAAAATAGTCAAAAACAGTTAGAAAAAGTTGAAGTAGAAGTTAATGATAACGTTTTGGTTATAATGGCGGTTACAGAAAAATTGAGAGGACGTTATGGGACGCTTTGATTCTCCGTTTTGACAGCAATTGACATGTGGTTGTGACTAAACGAATATTCCCGTACATCCAGGGAATTTTGTAACCTAGAGAATATTCAATATCGAAAAATCAAGGAACATATTGTAGTGTACATACTTAACCCCCAGGTTCTACACTAACTTCACACTACAAGAACATGGAAACAAAGTCAACGCGGCAACGTTTAAAAATGGCCACCCGAATGACTGTTCATTCCAAAACTAAACAAGATCTCGCTTAAATTTGAAAAGTGGCACGTGATAAAACATCTAAGGCAGGGCCCCCTTACGTTAGTTGTAAACAACGCTGTGACCTGAATCACAGTAGGGAAGGAACGTAAAATAAAACACTCAAATTGTGAAAAGTTTCTTGTCGGTCCCTTGTAATATCTTTGATGGTGAGCATCCGAATACGGACACATATAGTATATATTTCAATAGGACCTTTTTTCTTACTACCGTCCAATAAATAATTGTACAATATCTAACGTATTTCTAATTGACGAACTGACATATATCTTTCGGATATTCGCATACGCTTAAAAATATTATTCAGATGTAAGAATACACGAACAAGTTCCTTAAATTCTCTTGCTACCTAAACGTTAAATATCATTGGGATTTTTTATCAGTTATAATTTTAGGAATTAGTAAATTAGGTTGCTATTAGCTGTGAATAAGGAATTTAACTATTCAACGACATACTGTAAATTATATAGTCAGAAGTTGACATTCGTAATTCCATCCAGAACCCCGTACGTACTGTAACTGTAATGATATTGATTTTAAGTGTGACATTTGTAGAAGTAAATGTCCGTCATGGTCGAAGTGCACTGATAATTGCTTGTCGAGTTGGTTAATTAAAATTCGACTTCAATTGCCGCATCAAGGGACAGGCAAATAATTGTGCAGTGTTTGTTTTGAAAAAGATTTTGCGTCAGTATTTGTATGATTTATTCATATCCGTACAGAATAATTGTTTGATATGCAGAAAAAATTGTGATGGAGTAGATGTACCTATACCCTATACTGTATAATACGATTTTTGTGCAATATCCTCGCTTACATTCTTTTAGTTTATGTACAGAAATATTTTCTTCAATTGGAAGGTGAAAACTTGGTAGGGTAGGTATGCAAAAATAACCCTATCGCAGAACGGCCTATCAGCCACAACTCTATAGTGTGCTGAAGTTGTGGAGGGTGAAGGATGTTGGCGGTTTGACAAGACTTTTAACTATTATTACTTCTTTGCCGGTTTGTGACGATTTTTTGACGATTTTGTGTTAGAGGACGAACCTGAGGACCACTCTCCGGCTTTGGAACCGTGTTGCGAGGAGAGTTGAGGTTTTCGTGTAGTAGTCCACCAATGATTTGATTGACAGAGGAAGTTTTAAATCACGCTAATTTGAGCTCCTTGCCCTTGAAATTGGAAAGTAAACAAAAATAGACAGCATAAGATAAGCAGGCACCACAATTCACTTTTTGTGCGCATGTACTCATTTTCAATGGTAAATTCGTCTTCCGACGGATAGCGTAAATCTTGCAATCGCGTGAAAACCAAGTCACCTACATTTAAGAAGTATAGCAGTATTTATTATTATTGTCATTAAATAAAGGGTTAAGGGATAAAGCAGTGACCACATTAGTAGGTACGACTCTAGTAGGGACAGGACCTTGGGTTAAACAATTTAAATCAGGCGGGATGTAAACGCGGGGGTTGGTTTTCCAATTTCATTTAATATAAGTATCGTCACATTTTTGATATTCTTATTGTTAACTACAATTCAGTGGTCAAGCAGGAGTGTTTTTAAGTGAAAAGATAAAAGGTCGACTTTCCTGGAAGGCAATTGCAATCAAGATTAATAATCATGAGCTAGCGGTCGGCATATATACGAGTAAGTGTCGTCAAGTTAGGCATTTGTAACAACCTGGTCTTTTCATACCTGCATAACAGCTTTCAGGGGTTAATTAGGTACGTTGGTCGACTACAAAATAATTTTGTTGATGAAACAGATAAAATGTACCTTAAACTTTTGCTTGCGCGTATCATTTCGTACATTTCACCTCAATTGTGGGGTTGATTATTTGACAATGTTTCCCTGTTTCCCGTGTTATAGGTATATGTGCATTAATTTATAGATGACGTAGGTACATACTTTTTTAATTCTAATTTATTTACATGCACATCAATTTAAAAAGTAGATTTCTTTTCCATGGGGTAAGTCTGCCAACAATTAACTCACTTGATACTATTCAGTTCGTAATTGATTTTCCTTTCAAAAAGAATCCTTTACAAATGATGACTTGAATACCAGAAGGCTTCGGTTCACACTTCCAAAAGAAATAGAAGATATCATTTTATATATAAATTGTGGAAGGTGATAAGTTACAAATTGCTATAAATTCCGGCATGCTTTTATATTCTTAATCAATCTCGCAGCGAAAATTCAATGTTATTACTAAAATGACAGTTGAATCCGGATCCTTTCCGCACGTTTTATTATTTGTATGGTCTCTAGGGCGACATTTGCAACAACTTGCGGTCCGGTTCGTTCGATTTTAAGGGCTCGCAATCACTTTTAGGGGTATTTTTAGATACAAACTTACTCTCCGTTTACATTATTTTTTTTAAATAAAGGACATAAATTGGTTACAATAAAAGGGTTTCGTTTTGACTTCGTCTACAGAGTAGTATGATGTTAAGCACTTTTGCAAAGTAGTCTTTATATACATCTAAAGGATGGTAGTATTACATGTTAAAATCCGGGATAATCCCCTTCCCGTCTTGGGGTATCACAATAATACCTATAATTGCTGCGTTCGAGTATTATCCCACATGAATACACACTGGCTCATGTAATAGTGTTTACAGTGATTGGAAACATGTTCAGCACCCGTAACAGATTCTAAAACTTGATGATAGAGATTTTTCTTTTCATTCTCATTGTGTTACATTAAAACTCTACAGAGCGCTATTCACTCAGCTCCATCCCTTTAATGATAACGTAACAACGACGTAGGTATAATTACGTGAAACCCTCTTTATTTCTACTTATATACCTACTTAGTTGTGTCTCTACTATAAAAATGTACTTCTCCAATAAGAAATTACAAATGCAGAGTGTCTAATTATATTTCGTCGATTCCAGAGGTACAACTACTTTGCTCACTGGATCCTGATTATATTCATATTTAAATTTGGGGTTAGTTAATATTTAGCATGAAATGATAAACTCTATGGAATCGGTTGCATAATAAAATAAAAATGGAAATTGTTTCATAGCGCTTAAAAACAATACAGTAACGATACCTCTGATTAATCTTTTCCAAAATTGCGCCGATTCACATTCAAATGGTCTAGATTCTGGTTCGTATCTAATCGTGGTATATGAAATACAGGAATACAGCAATGAGGCGCAATGGCAAGATGTAGTTTGCCTTACGTCCGCCCAGATTGAAAAGATCTCCTTATTGGATTTATACGGAGTCAGCTTCCCTGATGTCAAGGTGTACCTTTGTCGTCGATAATGGTTTAACTACTTGAAGATAAAAGTGCATTAACTCCTTCACGTTCGAAGCTTGCAATGCACTCATTGAATATTTTTTTTAGTAGCACGATTGTAAATTGCCGTCGCTCAAGTTTGCGAAAAACACTTAAACCTCCATGGTGTTTTCACGAACTTTAATTACGTCGTTTATTTATACTTTTATAACAGTCTTCAAATGAATTTATTTATAACAGTAAAATATTATTTATCACTTTATAACATAAGCGCGTCGAAATTGGAACTGAACCCATGTGCGCTGGAATTTGCTTATATATGAAATGCAGCGCTTTTAGAAAATTACAGAACTTTCTGGAAAGTTGGAGATTACCGCCGGTGACTTTCAATGGCGCGTCCATGGTGGCGGAGGGCGACTGGCTGTCTGTTTGGGACATTGCCCCGCTGTTGCGTCTGTTGCAACACGGAAGACGGTTGTAGCGAGGATATAGTCCTAGGCGCCTTGCTTTATAACGCGATCCTGATGGCGGTACTTGCACGACGACCCCCTCGTACATCTTCCATTCTTGATGAAAAACAATCCATTGTCTTACGAAACGGTTGCCGCGTGCCTCTGGGGTTAAAGCAACAAACCAATATTTCCAACCCGGTTCCCTGTAATACCACTTCCAGCATTTTGCGCACAATGCGCCAGTCCAACTTATATCAAGGTCACATCCGATCTTTGGAATTGCCAACTTGGTAACGCCAAAAAATCTTCGTAATCAGGGTTATCACACGACCGGTCTTTTGTTACCAGACAATAAAGAAATCATCCCTGTTCCTATGGAAACAACCGATTGAAGCGTTAAGCGCCCAAACCGGAACTTGAATTCTACGGTAATACCTCGGGCCATCTTGACACCCTTGGCTTCGTAGTGAGCCAAATCGTATTCCGCTGGTGCTTCAAACAAATTTTTAGATTCCTCACGGACAACAGCAAAGTGT